GACCATCGCACTCAGTCTGCGTAAACAGTGGCATTTGTGGTCTTCTACGGCCCTAGGGAGTCCAGGATGATCCAATCAATGTGAAGTGCTGTGAGCTGGAGTCTACTCAGTTACACTGTGTGGTTGAGAATGAACGTCACGTTGAACATGGTAGTTTGGTGCCTTGGGTTTCCTACCTCCCATCTCCACTTCAAATTTATCTTTCCGCCTTTCCTGTGCTTCCACTTACGCAATTCTTTTTTTGTTCACTATTACACTGGCACTTCTGGAAAAGGTGGAAACTCCTAGGTTGTTCTCCAGAGGATTTCTCACTATTTCAAAACATTGTCTCCCCCTTGTCTCATCCCTCTGTACATCTCCCTCCACTCCCCCAGAACCCTGATTTCATGTCATTTTTCAGGGGCAGACATTTATAGATTGTGTGATGCTTGACCATTGAGCGTTTCTGCACTGCTAACCCAGTACTGCTCCCAGGTAGAAGGAAAGTATAGGGAGGAAGAATGTTTTGGTTTTTTCCCCCCCCAGGACTTTTGCTGGGGGAAAATTCCTGCTCTGGGAAACTTCCTCCTGGCTTTTTGCTCAAATGAAAATAAGATGCAATTTTTAATTTTCTCCTATGAATACACAAAGTAGACCATTTTAATGAACCATCCAGTTAACCAGGAAAGTGGAGATCTCTCATGAGGAGTGCCTTTCCCCATCATCCACTCCACAGGTGTTAGGACCTCTATAAAAGAGCACTAAGAAATTCAAGCTAGACAGCAGCTTTCTAGTGACTGATACCAACTATCCCTTGATCAGCTTTAAAAGAGACAGGTTTCTTTTGTGTTTTTCCTGAAAGTTTTGATTTACATGTGTAAAAACTTCCATTTTCCTAACTCCTGCCCAGGCACAGTGACCACTCTGAAGAGGAGACACATGCCAGAATTTACATTGTGAAAACCATGTATTTCAATCCTTTGGATTATTGCAACCCCACAAAGCCTTACTCATGGAGAATATCAACCTAAGGGCTGTACAAAGACTAATGTTTATTAGAGCAAATCTAACTGCCAGGTCCTTAACAAAAAGCCTAGCCCCGTAGTCTTGACACTTTTGCATCCATACAAGTAGAGGTCAGTGTAAACCTTCTGGAAACAAAGCCCTAGGAAATTAATGCACTCTGTAAAATAAAAAAGCATAAGAGAGTATGTGTCAGTGACTGTGCTGGGAGGGCAGTAACTCTAGATTTAGTAACAGTTTTGTAAATGTTTCACAAATTTCACATCTCAGACCAACTGACTGTGATGAAAAAAAAAGACCCTCAAGCCTGTTGCATCAGAATAATTGTTAATTTACAATTACATCCTAGCGTGTAACAGAGATAATGAGATAAAACCATTTTAACAGATACTCCCACTCAGTTCCAGAGCCTAGCAGCTGCCTCTCTTAGTGTTTCTCTGTTAAAGACATGGGATGAAATACTGCCTGCTTTGGAGCTGGAGACACTAGGTTACACGAGATTTCAGTCATGGCTGAGGCTAAAAGCTGTATAAATTAAAGGTCCTTCTCTTATCTAAAATGGGCATTTGATTATGCTGGAAGAAGACAGAAGATCTGCCTGTGCTGCAGAGTCCCTTCCCAGTAGCTGTGCCTGGGGAGCCCTCTAGTGCAGCCACAGCAGAGGCTTGCGAGAGGACTTGCTGTAATGACACCACGTCCTGAAAAGCTGAAAGTCATGCTGAGAAAGTCCTCTCCTCTCCCATGGCACAGCTGCAGCCAGGCCAGCAGATTTCCCAGGAGAGCAGCATCTCCTCCGAGTGTAAATTTCTCCAGATGATCATCCTGTGCTGGCTCAATTTTGTTACTGTAGTTCTGGGCTGTATAAGGATGTGTCTGCCCAGCAAAACTCAGGGGAAGGATTGCTCTGAGACCTAGGACTGCACCAGGGTCACACACATTAGGTGCTGGGGAGGGAGGGGGCTTACAAAGCAGGAGTTAAAGCAAGTCAGGGCTAAGGTAGCTCAGGAGAGCAGTCTTGAGAGTTCAGATCTGGACCAGAAAGATGTGCATGCTAAAAATGGCCCCACAGCACAGATGCTGAAATGGAGCCAGAGCTGGAGTTAGAAGAGGCACAGTAAGTCCTGGCCAAGGTACATAAAAAAAGATGTGTCAGAACTGTAAGTAATGTATTAGAAGAGCTGCAATATGGGCAAGGTCAAGGGGCAGAAAATAGGTGTGAACACAGCTCTGTGCACACATGCTGTGGGTGGAGAGAAATGATTCATCACCTTGAAGACAGCAGCATGCAGTGCCTGGCTCTTTGCTATACTTGGGTTAACACTTTTATAAATAGCCAGTTATCAGAACATGCATAGCTAAAGCTACTCCCCCCTGTGAACTTTTAAACAGCCACACCTGAAGGAAGCTGCCAGCCCTTGCTAGCAGTGGGAAAGAGATCTCTTAAAAAAAAAAAAAGAACCATGTTGAAAATTTGGCTCCAAAAATAAGTAGGTAATGCAACATAGACTTCTATAGCACTGTAATTAACACTTGACAATACAGCCATTGGGAAATGCCTTCTGTTTTGCCAGCCTTAAAATATCGCTCCTGTGCCTGGGCGGTCAGCACCTCCCAGGCACAGCGTTGGCTTCCACCCAGCCGCTCACCATTCCTTTTAGTGCTCTTCTGAGGAGGCCTGTAAGGTCTTCTGCTTTTGTTTTCTGCTGCCCTTGCAGAGTTCCAGGGTAAGACTGAGGTGAAAATCCTGGAAGGGGACATCCGAGATGTGACATTCCTGCACCATGCCTGTCAGGGGGTCTCCCTCGTCATCCACACAGCTTCCATCATTGACACCTTGGGCCTCATAGAGAAGCAGCTGCTCTGGGAAGTCAATGTAACAGGTGAGCGGGTGAAGCACCTTTCTCAAACTCATGTTTACTATGTCCCGATCATCATCTGCTCAGGAAAGGGAGCACCTGGCCTGTTCTTTTGAGCCAGATTAACTGGGTTGTTCTACATCTTGCACAGCCACACCTGTGAGTGCAAAGCATGCATATGTGCAGCCCTGTGCAGCTCTGGCCCTCTCCACACCCAGTGTGCACCGGTCTTCCACTGCAGGGCACTGCAGGATCATTCACTCTTGTCAGCACTCACATATGCCCATCCTGAGATCTGCACAGGCTCTGCCTTCAGTGGGGACAGCCATAATCCCATGCTCAGTGGCCCTTTCTGGAAGCAATTCACCTCTGAAATCCCAATGCACATTTGAGAAATATGGTTCTTATTCTCCCTCCCCATGTAGCATCACTGCCTGTGTACATTTTTGAATTTTTACAAACACTAGAGGCTTTGGTTGCAATTACAGCACACTTGCACTGTTAACGTCCCAGACCCTGAGGCTCTCTGCTGCCTGTTCTTTTTCTTCCTCCTCTTCTCCTTTTCCTCCCCTTTGCCCTTATGTCTGTGTGTGCATGAATGCAGTTCAGATAGAGGAACAGATGCTCTCCCACCTTGAGCTTATAATTAAAATTCCTCCAATAAACTCAAGGCTATATGAGGGAGGGGTTTCAGTGACCCCTCATTCAGTGATGCGATCTCCCTTTCTGCTATGGAGCCCCTGTTCCTCATGAAAAGATCAGATAAGGGGGAAGGTTTTACTTTAGAAATTACCTGTGTGGCAACAGCTGCTAGGATATTTAAATATATTTCCTAAAAGAACAACTTCATCCCCCTCCCTCTCACCCCAAAACCCTCTATGCCTTTCAGAGAACTGGTATGCCTAACCTCCCTGGCTGTGTTGCTTCAGTTCCTTGAAGAGGATCTAGGGAAGATGTTCTTATTTATGTGAATAGTTTTCCTGATCCTTTGTTCCTTTCTGCCAATGACACAGGGCTTCTTCACAGAAAAATAAGGAACGTATTTCTACAGGGACTACTTTTACAAATATTGGCTACTTACCAGTGTTCAGAGCAAGAGAGCATTCTTTGTAGTTGAGTTGTCTCTTGCATGCACCTTAAAAACAGTGGGATGGCATTTTGGTTGTTTTAGCCTGGCTCACTGCCTGTACATTCAGCTTCCAGACCCTTTCATTTCTGCTCAGTCAAGGCCACAAATTGACAATGACCACAAATTAGAGCCCAGCGGGCAGCTTCTTAGGTCCTTGCCAGGAGGGAAGAGCAGAAAGGCAAGCTCCTGTAAACCTGTGCATTGCGTAGTATGAAAAAGAAATATATGGGGGTGGTAGTTCAGAAAGAGGAGTTGTAAAGCTCGCTCTCTATGAACATACTCCTGCTACAATGTGGTTTTTGCAGCAGAATATGTTGCCTAAACCCATGGGGGGAAAAAAAACCAAACAAAACCCGCAAACAAATATGAAAAAGCATTCCCAAAAGCAGAAAGCTCTCTACCTCTGAGCTGGAGTCAGAGCTAGAGAGTTTATTTAAGTCTGTCCCATCATTCCTTTTGGCAGGTTTAGACTTAGGCACAAAGTATCTAGGTTTTCATAAATCTTTCATCCCCCACCCCCAACAGTCTGCCTGTGGGTGAAAAAGGCCCACTGGGCCAGCTGGGTTAGCTGGTAACATTTGGTAGAATGAAAGCACACACCAGTCCTGCTCCTAGAGCAAACTGACCCTAAGGTCAGACAGTAAATACTGCTGTCCTCTTCCCCATTTCCCTCCATTTCCATTCTCATGCTCTCATGGCTTTCTGACTAGCCAAGACACTGCTCCATACTTCATAGACTTGCAGGATGAAAGTTTTGTTTCTCCTAGAAAACAGAACTTTTATAATACAAGTGTGTCAAGGAATCAAGATGTGGATGTTCACAAACCAGAACAGAAGCAAACAAGTTAAACGTGCCATGATGCAGGGCTTTCCTCTGTCTCACATGCCACACAACGCCTCAGAGCATGAATATCCATTTAGGAAGGGAAGGGAAGCAAATTTTTAGGAGGAAGGGAATCAAGAAAAAAATTAAATATAATCCAAACAAAAGTACCCTCTGTGAATCAGATCCTCAGCCAGAAAGGCTTTGTGCGCAAGTAAAACTTGGAGACCTGCTCCATGAAGATTTACTTCATTACATGCTACGTGAAAGATGCTCAAATTCCCATTACTGTAAGAACCTTTTCATTTTTTACATACAACTTTGATTTGCAAATAGAACACATTTTATTTGGGTGAGATTGATCTTGAACAGATACCAACCGCCAAGATAATTTTATGTTTGCTTTTTTTAAAACTTGCTATCTCATTTGATTTTTATCTAGCCCTTCTGCACTTTATTACTTTCCCTCGCTTTCCAAAGAGCATTGATGGCAGGATATATTTTATTAATTAATTAATTTTCCAGATGACCCTGGCTTGTATGTCACCGAAACATAGTGACTTGCATGAACTCACTTTTCATGTGAAATTATTCCTGGCTGGGTAACCTTTTTTTCTTTGCACTTCTTTAGTGTTTCTTAAAGCCTCATCCAGATCTATTTGCCATTTGTTTTAACTTGTTTCTTTTTCTTCTTCAAGCTTGAAAGAGAAATTTTGGTGCCCTAACAATATTCAGTTCAGTAATTCTTTCCATTCTTCACTCATTAATGGGTCCATATTTTGCTGCCAATATTCCTTGGTCCTCTGAACCTCTTTTATTCATTATATGCTCTTTAGCAACACTAGCCTGTTCTGCATTGTGCTGCCTTTAGTTGTAACAGACTGAGCAGACTTGTTAGATCATTTATGTGCCTCACTGCTAGTGTTTGATTTTATCCCCTAGATTTTAGGCCACACCCTTCTGATATCATATCAGTCATTTTGGTTTAATGTTCCTTTGCCAAAGACATTTTCAAATGTCTTTGAGCTGTATCTTCTGTTTCAAAATCACTGGCCCTTTCACACATAATCTCTCTCATTACACCACGCACAACAAATAAGGCAATTTTTGCCTCAAAGCTCAGAAGAACAGTCTACCTGTAATTTAAACAACCCAATTTATTAAAATATTTATCTTCCCCTTGAATGTGCTTTCCTAGCTTAACCCTCCTGGCTACTTGAAAGACCTTGAACTTGCCAGTTTACCTCTGCTCTCCTCGATGAAAGCATTGTAATAAGATTTTTAAAGTAAGAAATCCTGTAGTACTGCAAGTAAAATCCAGAATATGCCAAAAAAGGAGGCATACATACACAATCATCAGTTTGCTCACTGCACTTCATGATCTTTGACTACATAGTATCATGCATTGTTCTGACATAAGAGCTTTCTCTTCAAGCCCTTCTCCAAAGCCAATTGAATGGTAGATAGACTCCCACTGGGTGAAGCTGAATTTGGAGCAAACCTTCAGGTCCCACATTAATTCTGTCCCTGCTTAGCAAACCACCCAAGAGCATCCTCAAGCCTGGAAAACAGGGTCTTCAGCATACAGGATGGATGGTACCCCGTGAGAGGGGCAGCTTCTGAAGGTTCTCTGCCTTAAGCCAAGTCAATCCAACCAACAGGCACAAGCCCCTGAATCCATGGTCAGTGTCCATGCTAGCCTAAGCAAGAGCAAAATTTGACTCTTGGCAGAAAAAAACCCACAACATGCAATTAAGACCAAGTGTTATCCTTGTTTATCTGCAGCAGGGGCACTGATACCACTTAAATACAGATTCAGAGCAGGTTCCATTTCATTGAACATGCTGCCCAGTTCAGAACAGGATTCTTCCAGCTGCAGAGAGGGGAGATCTGGCCAAACTCAGGCCAGAGATGCTGTTTCTGATCTAAAAAGCCTACTTTTCCCTGCTTGGAGAGCTCCAGACTGACTTGCATGTTTCTCTTTTGAAGGTACTCAGCTACTGCTGGAGGCATGTGTCCGCTCTAACGTCCAGCACTTCATATATACCAGTACCATAGAAGTGACGGGCCCAAACTGCAAAGGTGACCCAATTTTCAATGGTGATGAAGATACACCTTATGAGAGTATATCAAAATCTTCTTACGCCCAAAGTAAGAGACTGGCAGAGGATTCTGTGCTGAAAGCAGATGGCCGGGTGTTAAAGGATGGTGGCATGCTGATGACTTGTGCCCTGAGATCCATGTACATTTTTGGAGAAGGATGCCCATTTCTTCAAGGTCATCTGGATAAGTGTCTGTTGAACAAAAATGTCTACCTGCGTTTCTCCAGGAAGGAGGCTTTGGTGAACCCCATCTATGTGGGGAACATTGCGTGGGCACACGTGCAGGCAGCCAAAGCCCTACAGGTCCCACAGAAAGCCAAGCACATCAGGGGGCAGTTCTACTACATCTCAGATGACACTCCTCATATGAGCTACGCAGATCTAAATTACGAGCTGACCAGGGACCTGGGGTTTGGAATTGAGCCCCGACTCCCCATGCCTCTGAAAATGTTGTATTACTTCTCACTGCTGCTGGAGATCATGAGCTTCTTGCTCAGGCCCTTTGTCAGATACATCCCCTCCACCAACCGTCACCTGGTCACTCTACTGAACACCCCATTCACCTTCTCTTATAGAAAAGCACAGAAGGATTTTGGCTACATGCCCCGCTACACATGGGAAGAGGCTAAGCAGTGCACTGGTCAGTGGATTGCCTCCATAATCCCACAGAGAAGGCAATACTTGAAAAGCCAGGCTGCCTGAGTCTTAAGAGGAGCTGAGACCTGGCTAAACAAATAGGGCCTTGAGCCAGAGGAGAGCTGGGTGAACAGCAGCAGCAGCAAACTACAAAGCATTTAAATGAAGAATTTGTGTAACAGCCCCCTCACACCCCTTCCCTCCTCCCCACCCGAACCCAGAATAAATAAAAGTGAAATGTTCCTTTATTTGTTGAGTACAGGCTCAGGGTAACCTTACTGGATAGTCCACATCCACTTCTACATCTTGTGCAGTATGAAGACATTATTTTAGTAAGGCTCCACACAGTCCATAGGGTGAACACATCAGCCCTTCTTTTCATGCCATACCACCTTTAAGTCTTTTGTAAAGCACAATTCATTCTAGAACTATGATTACCTTCCACAAATATGTACTACTCAGCTATACCCTACTCACTGAGCTCTTGCCAGCCTTACCCAAACACGCAGAAGGTAGAAGCCACCTGACTGCAAAATCTGTTACAAATCTGGTTCACTTTTTCAAGAGCATTGTCCAGTTTCGTATGCCATTCACCTGACAATCAAACTTGAGAGCAAATTTGGCCACTGTAAGCATTGTGAGGCCAAAAGCACAATGTAAGCGCAACATAGTTTTAGTTAGGATGGTTTGTAAAGAGAGAGAAGGGGGAGATTTGGTCAGGTGAAGACTTCCTCATCCAATCGCATTTTCCTAGTTAGCAATTTTGCAATAAATCTGATGGCTGCCCAGCAGAACAGCAGCTTCAACAAGATGAAAAGGAGAAAAATATTGCAGGACAGTCTTGGTCACTGAAAGGTTTCCATTGCAGAGTCAAGACATTTGTGAACACTGAGGAAAAACAAACAGTGCTGAAAAAAATCATGCTATTTCCAGGTTTCAGCTGGGAACAAAGGCTAACTTTAGCTGATAGATGCACGTGTTCTGTCCCTGTACTCTTCTGATGGCTGTATGAGTCTCTGCAGAATGTGTAACCTGACTTTTGACCCAAAAATGTAGAACTTGTCTGAACAAACAGATGTGATCCAGTGTTTGCTTCTTAAACAGACAGCTCACTTGCTGAAAACAGCTCTAAAAGATGGGAATTTCTCTGCTATGTTCAGGGTGGTGTGAACAGAAACATTTTACCTGACTCAGTACTAATGTAAATAAATCACATTTCCAGAGATATTGGCAGCTTAAAGTCTGTGTTGAGTTTATTCAGTGCCCTAGATATTAGATAGTCCCAGTGCAAGTATTACCACTTTCTTTAGTAACAAGTAAGATGTCGTGAGGCTATGCAGAGAGAAAATTAGAAGGGCCAAAGCCCAACTATAACTTAATCTGGCTACTGCCATAAAAGACAATAAGAAATGTTTCTATAAATACACTGGCAACAAAAGGAGGGCTAAGGAGAATCTCCATCCTTTATTGGATGCAGGGGGCAACATAAGTGACAAAGGATGAGGAAAAGGCTGAGGTACTTAATGCCTTCTTTGCCTCAGTCTTTAATAGGAAGACCAGTTGTTCTCCAGATACCCAGCCCCCTGAGCTAGAAGACAGGGATGGGGAGCAGAACGAAGCCCCCATAATCCAAGGGGAAATGGTTAGCTAGCTGCTACACCACTTAGACACACACAAGTCTATGGGGCCGGATGGGATCCACCCAAGGGTACTGAGGGAGCTGGCGGAAGTGCTCACCAAGCCACTTTCAATCATTTGCCAGCCATCCTGGCTAACTGGGGAGGTGCCAGTTGACTGGAGGTTAGCAAGGGTGATGCTCATCTATAAGAAGGGCTGGAAGGAGGATCCGGGGAACTACAAGCCTGTCAGTCTGATCTCAGTGCCGGGAAAGGCTATGGAGTGGGTCATTTTTAGTGCCATCATGCAGCACATAGAGGACAACCAGCTGATCAGGCCCAGTCAGCATGTGTTTATGAAAGGTAGGTCCTGCTTGACTAACCTGATCTCCTTCTATGACAAGGTGACCTGCTTTGTGGATGAGGGAAAGGCTGTGCATGTTGCTTACCTGGACTTTAGTAAAGCCTTTGACACCATTTCCCACAGCATTCTCCTGGAGAAACTGGCTGCTTGTGGCTTGGATGGGCATACTCTTTGCTGGGTAAAAATCTGGCTGGATGGCTAGGCCCAAAGGATTGTGGTGAATGGAGTTAAATCCAGTTGGCGGCTAGTCACAAGTGGTGTTCCCCAGGGCTTGGTATTGGGGCCAGTTCTTTTTAATATCTTTATCAATGATCTTGGCAAGGGGATCGAGTGCACTGAGTTTGCAGATGATACCAAGCTGGGTGGGAGTGCTGATCTGCTTGAGAGCAGGAAGGCTCTACAGAGGGATCTGGACAGGCTGGATCGATGGGCTGAGGCCAGTTGTATGAGGTTCAACAAGGCCAAGTGCCGAGTCCTGCCCTTTGGTCACAACAACCCCATGCAATACTACAGGCTTGGGGAAGAGTGGCTGGAAAGCTGCCTGGCCGAAAAGGACCTGGGGGTGTTGGTAGATAGCCAGCTGAACATGAGCCAGCAGTGTGCCCAGGTGGCCAAGAAGGCCAACAGCATCCTGGCTTGTATCAGGAATAGTGTGGCCAGCAGGAGCAGGGAGGTGATTGTTCCCCTGTACTCGGCGCTGGTGAGGCCACACCTGGAATACTGTGTCCAGTTTTGGGCCCCTCAATACAAGAAAGACATTGAGGTGCTGGAGCGTGTTCAGAGAAGGGCAACGAAGCTGGTGAAGGGTCTGGAGCACAGGTCCTATGAGGAGCGGCTGAGGGAACTGGGATTGTTTAGCCTAGAGAAGAGGAGGCTGAGGGGAAACCTTATTGCTCTCTACATCCACCTGAAAGGTGGTTGTAGCAAGGTGGGTGTTGGTCTCTTCTCCCATGTAGTTAGCGATAGGACGAGAGGAAATGGGCTCAAGCTGCGCCAGGGGAGGTTTAGGTTGGAAATTAGGAAAAATTTCTTCACGGAAAGGGTGGTCAAGCATTGGAACAGGCTGCCCAGGGAAGTGGTTGAGTCACCATCCCTGGAGGTATTTAAAAGACGTGGAGATGGGGTGCTTAGGGACCTGATTTAGTGGTGGACTTGGCAGTGTTAGGTTAACAGTTGGACTGCATGTTCTTAAAGGTCTTTTCCAACCTAAACGATTCTAAGTTATTCTTCATGTTTCCTCTATTTTTTCAGTCTTCCTCTGTTTGCGTGCTGGGGTTGTGTCTTTCTGGTGGACAGCAATTACTTCATTATTACAATTCTGAGAGAAGTATTTTTCGGGGGGGGTTAAGTATGTAAGATCCGAAGCAGTTGAATACCAGCCACCAGAACTTCCAGTCATATTCTGGGGACACAGAAATAAGTTCTTCCAAGCTCTCATTGAAGGTTTTGTAAACACTCAGCAAACTAGTACCATGGATGTGATTTGAATGCTATTGCTTCACAGATAACCACGTCAATTTCTTCACATTTCTCCACTGAGCAAGCAGTACTATTAACACCTCCATCAGAGTTCCTCCTTTATTGGTGAGCACACAGATCTATCCCATGCTGAAGGAGACCCGTCCCCTCCTACACTGTCAGCTGATAACTCTAGAGATTGAGGGAGAGTGAGGAGTTCTGCAGCAACCTTAAATAATAAGGGACTTGAAAATTAAATTTGGAATTGTGAACTCCTGGATAGAATCTGTGCCAAGCAAACTGATGTGTATACTGGAGTTTAAAAACAGATAAAAGACATTATTTAACACATTTGAGTTTGCTCACGGCAGACAAGCAGCACATCAGGGTGAGGATTGCTAACCAGCTGTATAACCCCTACTAGGAGACCCTTACGTCTCAACATCATGTTAAATTTTCTCTCTGAGCCCCCTCGCCCCCCTGCCCTCACACCATCAGAACTCAAACTTGCAGTCCTGCTCTAACCCCTGTATCCTACTGCCCTCCTGGGGCTTCAGGAACACAGGTGTTCTTTGAACAGAGGTGAGGAGGGAGGCAGCGGCCAGGGAGAGGGGTGTCTCAGTGTGATCCATCCCCAAAACCTTTGTTACCCCAGTTACACTGGGCTCTGGGGCTGCAGGCTGGCCAATGGAGAGAGCAAAAGCCAGCTGTCTAGAGGGCAGGCAGAGCAGGGGACAGCTGAGACCTCAGCTCAGGCGTGCCATTTGTCTGGCTGTGGAGACCCAAGGAGTTTGCAGCTGGTGAACTTCTGTGGAAGGTTAGGTACGAGTGTCTGCAAAACTGGCCGAGGACAGCCGAGGCCTCTTCTCTTGCAGTTAGAGACATGATGCAGAGGAAAGGGAGTGGGCCTGGGTCTTCACGTTCTCATTCTGTCCAGACCTCTCTGGCAAAAATATGTTTAGCTACAGCTCCTCTGTTCATGCCTTCTTCCCCTTGAGCCTCACCATTCATGTTCTTTTGCCCTCCAGTCTCCTGCATTGTTGGCTTTTTTCTCACCAGATGGTTCCTTTCCATTCCCCTCTGTACATACTCTGTTCCCCTCCGGTTCCCTCCTGTTCTATTTCCACTTCCACTTCCATTCCCCTCTGGGCCCCTCCGTGTGCAGTCTGTTTCCCTCCAGTCACCACTGTTCATACTCCACTCCCTTCCAGTTGCCCGCTTGCACTCTGTTCCTAGGCAGAAGGCTCTGCGCTGGCCATAAGCCTCCAAAAGACTCCCAGTTACGTAAAATTCACAGCCCTCTGAGTGCTGCTAGTAAAGTTACAAATCAGCTCCATATATTTACATATACACAGTTATTTCAGCTGCCTCCAGGGTTGAATAAGGCTCTGAGGATGCGTAAGACAAAATACTGCTGAAGACGGTTATCAAACCCTGCTCAGAGAAGCAAAAAGGTGTTTAACAAAGAGTAACACCCTTTATTTTTCTAGGCTAGTGAGATTTCATCCTAATGTCCTGTGAGACCAATGATAGGCGCAGCCATGGCTGCTTTGTCACTGAAGTAGTAGAAAGGACATTCTGGGCAAATGGAAATAGAGCAGGAAAGGAAGGGGGAGAACAACAGAAGCAGAGCTGCTATTTAATAGGGGAAGGCACTTAACACATCAAAGAGCCAGAACATTATAACACGTACCAGAAAACTGGGACATCTTTGCCCAGGTTTAACAGAGCTCCTAAAATACCTACACATGCTGCCAGAGAGAATAAAGGACAACTTTTCTTCCGCAGTTCAGTAAGTGACTCAT